GAGGGGAAGGAGGGTCCCAGTGCCTCGTCGGGCCTGGGGAGGTGTGGGACTGGGTGCCCCCCAAGGTGCATGCCGCGGCCCCCTCCAGGCCACATCTGAGGACCCAGGGAAGAGGCTGGACCGTGCCGGATTCTGCTCCTAACCATGGTGAAAATGTCCCTTCCCGGGCTACGCCTTCCCCTCTGGGGCTGAATAACCAGCTGTCCTTCTTTTCACACCTATCAAGTGCCAGGATCTCCAGTGTCCCTGTCCTTGTGTCCTCCCAGCCATTCTTCAGGACAGACCCGTGTTGTCACTATATGAATAAAACCTGGCCCAGAGAGGATGAGTGACCTGCTCAGGGTCACCCAGTAGGAAAGAGGTGTGGCCCAGTGAGAATCCAGCTCAGTGTCCCTTTTCCCTCCAAGGCTGCATGCAGGCCTCTTGTAGGAGTAGGGACCAGTGTGTGCTCTGCCTCCAGCAAAGTTTAGTTCTGGAACCGAACAGATTGCTTTACGGAGATGTTAAAGAACAAAGCTTAGAAGTAAGTCCAGAGGTGTTTTGGGAGGGAGGAATTAGGAGTAGGAAGGCGGACAGTGGGGGCGGGCACTTCCCCTCTCTGCAGCCAGAGCCAGCCCATCCTGTGTCCCACGCTTCAGCCTGAAGCTGGCCTGGATGGCTGGCTGGCTGAATCTCAGCCTCCTTCCTTACTCTTGACAGGAAATGACTTTCCTTCCCTTTGTTCCCACTTTCTCCCTTACCCGGCTGGGTCTCTGATTCGCCCTCTGGGAGAGGAAGGATGGGGGTGGAGGGTCCCTTGGGCAGGCAGGCTAGGAGGCTGCTGCCTCACACAGAACCTTGTCACCCCTCCAGGGTGACAAGAACTAGGGGGCAGTGAGCCCAGAGGGAAGCATAGGCTCTCTTTCCCAGATGGAGCTTGACAGGGCTTTGAAAGTCCCCAGTGCAGCTCCTTCCCCTGGGGCCTCCCAGGTCCCTACAGTAATACTTGGGTGTGGGGGGGGGTGGTTGCCCAGCTGTGAACATCTGGCCTCAGTGCTGGACATTTCCGAGAAAGCAGGCAGATCCGACTTCCCGGAGGAATGGGGTAGGGATGAGAGTGGGGTGGGAAGGAGGTGGAGGGGTCGTGAAGTTCCAGAGTAGTCTCTGGGGATCTGTCCAGAATGTGCTGACCAGAGAAATTTGTCTGGATTCGGTCAATCTAAGCTGAGAACGGAATTGGGGGAGGCCTGTGCAACCTAGGGAACAAAAAGCATGTGATCTCAGGTCTGAGGAAGCTCCTGGATTTCTGCGTTGGATGATGTTCTGGTGGAATTCTGGGCCTGCCATGTGAACTCTTGCAGCCCAGATGACCAGTCTGTGAATTAGGGGAGTAATGGACCCTCCTTACAGCAAACTTGAGAATGATAAGAATGTTTTTTTGTTTTGTTTTTTTTGGCAGCACTGGGGTTTGAACTCAGGGCCTTGTGTTTGCTAGGCAGGCCCTCTTACTGCTTGAGCCACTTTGTCAGGTCTTTTTTTTTTTGTGATGGGTTTTTTGAGATAGGGTCTTGAGAATTATTTGCCTGGAGCTGGCTTCAAACCTCAGTCCTCCTGATCTCTGCCTCCTGAGTAGCTAGAGTGACACACAGGCACCTGGCAGAATCACATAAATCTTGAGGCATGTGATGCTTTTTTTTTTTTTTTTTTTGGTGGGACTGGGGTTTGAACTCAGGGCTTTGTGCAGCCACTGTACATTTGAGCCATATATCCAGCCCATTTTGCTCTGGTTATTTTGGCGATGGGGTCTTGTGAACTGTTTGCCCAGGTTGGCCTCTAACCTCGATCCTCTTTGTCTCCCAAGTAGCTAGGATTACAGGTGTGAGCCACCAGCGTTGGCTTGAGGATAGCCATTCTGATGGAATGAGATGGAATCTCAGTGTCATTTTGATTTGCTTGTCCCTGATGGCTAAGCGAGCTCAACATCACTTCATGTATTTATTGGCCAGTTGCACTTCATCTTTAGCAGTACTGGGGTTGATCTCAGGGCTTTGTGCTAGGCAGACGCTCTACCACTTGAGCCAAACCTCCAGTCCTATACTCTTGAGAACTGTCTATTCAGTTCATTTGCCTAATTTATTGATTGGATTATTTGAAGAACACATAGTTTGTTACTAGACTGAGCTATATATGTTCTTAGCCAAACCCACTGCAGAGGAATTTGAGAGCCCCAGCTATTATTTTTGTTGCTTTGTTCTCCATCAGCCCCCAGAAACCCTGGAAGCCAGTGCACTTTGAGAATCTGAGGGAGGCCTATTAGTGGCCACTGGGCTCCAAGTCCACCATTAGGGTCCCTTGGGCCCTCCCCACTGCTCAAGGTCCACTCTACTTGCTTTCCTCCCCATGCACCTATGGCTGGGTGTCAGGATGACAGAAAAAGGGAGAGAGACAAAGATCACATATTTTAGCCCTGGGTGCCAAGTGAGGATGCCTGAGCTAAGAGTTGCCAGCTGACCCTGCTTGTGGCTCCACCTTAGCAGCTGCTGTCTTCAGGAACCACCTGCCCTTTCCTGACGTTCAGATGCCACCAGTGTCCAGATCTGTGCTTTGACGCCTGCACTGTGAGCTGCCCTGGGCCAGGCGAGGTTATGTTCCCTGATAGCCAGCCATCAGGTCCTGTGGCTGTCATCGCCCTGGGGAAGCAGACAGCTGTCCCCGGGCCAGGCCCCCAACTTAGAGGTTTCATGAAGAGGTTTGAGCTAGGCCTCAAAGAGAAAGCTAAAACTGACCCTGTGGGGTTGGGAGAGAAAAAGCAGATGGTAGAAAGTCCAAAGCCAGGTGGCTGAGGAGGTTGAGGTGGGCTGGGGACATAGCCCAATGGTAGAACAGTCACCTTGCATGCACCAGGCTCCAAGTTCAATCCCCAGCACCAAAACAAAGACTGAAAGAAGAAGAGGTCAAGGCTGCAGGCCTGCTAGACAGGCGCTCTATCTACCACTTTAGAGCCATTCCGCCAGCCCTTTTTGTTCTGGTTATGTGCTGGGCGCGGGTGGCTCATGCCTGTAAGCCTAGCTACTCAGGAGGCAAAGATCAGGAGGATCAAGGTTTGAAGCCAGGCCCTGGCAAATAGTTCAGGAGACCCTACCTCAAAAATACCCATTACAAAACAGGGCTGGCAGAAGGGGATGGAGGAGGTAAATTCAACTATGATATATTATTAGGAACTTTTGTAAATGTCACAATGTTTGTGATATTGTTGAACCCCCAGTACAACAAATAATTTTTAAAAAAAAACTAAAAAGAAAAGTCAAATAAAATGTGACAGAAAGTTGGTTAAAAAAAGAAGGTTGGTGGAGTGGTTGGAGTGATTTAAGTGGTAAGAGTGCCCACCTTGCCCAGCATCAGTGACTCACCCCTGTAATCCTAGCTACTCAGGAGGCAGAGATCAGGAGGATCGAGGTTCAAATACAGCCAGGGCAAATAGTTTGAAAAAACCCATCACAAAAAAGGGCTGGTGGAGTGGTTCAAGGTGTAGGCCATGAGTTTAAACCCCAGTGCTACCCCCCCCCAAAAAAAGTGGATAGGGTCTCACTTTTTGCCTAGGCCGGTCTTGACCTTGATCCTCCTGGTTTACACTTCCTGCCATAGCAAGGATGACAGGTGCTGGCCACCACGCCTAACTCTTTTCCATTGAGATGGAGTCTCAGACTTTTTTCCCTGACTGGCCTGGAACTGAGATCTCCTTATCTCAGCCTCCTGCATAGCTCAGGGTGACAGGCATGAGCCACTGGCACCCAACTCTTAGAAGGCTTTTGAGCAGAGGAAAAACAATCAGACTTCTGTTCTAGAAAGATGAAGGTTAGGAGTCAGGGTTGGGGACCACCCAGCCACCTCCTGCCACACTGCCGGGCACTGAGACAGGGTAATAGTTTTGGAGAGGGGACAGAGTGAGAGACTTTGACAACAGAAGGCAGACAGAGCATGCTCTGCTTCTGTGCTGGGTGGAGAGAGGACAAAGCAGAACAAAGTGGCCAAATGCATGAGTTGTGGTCTCAAATGCCGGCTCTGCAACTGTGTGACCTTGGACAAGTGACTTGACCTCTCTGAGTCTCAGTTTCCTCACCTGCAAAATGGGGTAACCATGGTGCTGACCTCCCCACAAGCCTTGGGAGGATTTCTGAGTTAGTCAGCATCAGGTGCTCACTGTGGGGGGACCCAGGGTGGGGCTTGGAATTTTTTCTTTGTTCTTCAGCCCCTGGGAGCCCAGACCTTGGCTCTGACCTTCTTTTTTCCTCCACAGCAGAGCTGGTCTGAACCTTTGGGACTCTAGTTCTCCCTGGAGAATCCAGACCCCAGGTAAGGGAGGGGACTTGGGGTCTCTGTGACCTTGTGGATAGGTCCCAAGGCTGGCTGCTGGAGGGACTGGCCTTCTGAGATGAGGGGGTTACCCTTTTCTCCCCAGATGTTTGGGTCAGCTATGTCACACGTACCTGACCTCTGCCCTCCAACCCTCCACCCCCAATCCCCTACCTCCTTTTTTTTTTTTTTGGTGGTACTGGGGGTTGAACTCAGGGCCTTTTGCTAGGTAGGCACTCTACTCTTGATCCATGCCCGTAGCCCTTTTAACTTTGGTTGTTTTTTGAGTTAGGGTCTCACTTTACGGCTGGGCCAGCCTGGAACACACACACCCTGGCCTGATACTGGATCTCTGTCTCCAGGGATTATAGGTGTGAGCTATGCCTGGCCTTTTATTTATTTGTTTGTTTGTTTATTTATTTGAGATAGGGTCTCGATATGTAGCCCAGGCTGGCCTGGAACTCACGATCCTCCTACCTCTGCCTCCTGAGTGCTAGGATTATTTGCCCCCTCTCTGGCTGGACTGGGTCCTGGGCTGTGACACTGGCACCGTTGGGTTGGCTGCTCCTGTGCTGTGGGAAGAGGGAGACTTAGCCTCTGTGGCCAGGAGGAGTACACTTTGTGTCCTGCAGAACCTTGAGCCCTGCTCTGCCCCAGCAGGAGCCACCATGGCTTCAAAACCTGAGAAGAGGGTCGCCTCGTCTGTCTTCATCACCCTGGCACCCCCACGCCGTGATGTGGCCGTGACTGAGGAAGTGAGGCAAGCAGCTTGTGAGGCCCGGCGTAACCGTCCTTGGGAGTCCTCAGGCCCCTGAAGGCATCTGGGGCTGTCTCAGCCAGGAGGCCCATCCCCTGGATGCCCCCTGGAGCAGCTGCAGCATTGGTCCCAGACGTTCCACCTCAGCTTTCCAATGGAGGTAAGAGAGCAACGTCAAAGGGGACCAGGGTGGAGATGGCAGGGCAGTGGAGAGGAAGACTGAGTCATTCCTTCATTCATTCATTCACACATTCATTCATTCATCAAGAGCCTACTGTGTGCCAAGCAGACTCTGGAGTCCTGCCTGGGTATAAATCCTGGCTCCTCCATTTCTCAGCTGTGTGATGTTGGCAGGCCACTTAACCTCTCTGTGCCTCACAGAGAAATGTGTAAAGGAGGAGTAAGTGTTTCACTCCACCTGTCACACAGAAAGTGTGTTACTTGCTAGTATAATCCTGGGAGATGAAAAGAGAGAGTTTTTTAGCCTGCGTGAAGTTTACATCTTTTTTTGTGGTACAGGGGTTTGAACTCAGGGCCTACTCCTTGAGCCACTCCAGCAGCCCTTTTTTGTGAAAGGTTTTCTCGAGATAGGGTCTCTCCAACTGTTTGCCTGTACTGGTTTCAAACTGAGATCCTCCTGATCTCTGCCTCCTGAGTAGCTAGGATTGCAGGCGTGAGCCATGGCTTTTCATTATGAGGGAAGCTTCAAGGCAGTTTTCCTTCCTGACCAACCTCCTCCCAGCTGCTTTTCTGTCCACAAGAGTTAGGGCCAAAGCACAATGGAACTGGGATGCAGTGGGAAAACAGGTGTGTGTCTGAGTGGGAGAAGGGAGGGAGCCCGGGAGAAAGACTAGATGCCAAATGACAAAGTTTCCAGGGCATTTCAAAGGTTAGTGGAATCACAGAGAAGATCCCCGCAGTGTGTGACAAAGTCAGACTTGCCTTGGGGTGGAGGCCTGATGGTCTCTGGTCATGGCTGCCGGTCACTTTGCCAACTTGGGGCCCACCTTGCTGAAGTTAAGTAAATTCTCAGTGAGCAGCTTAGTCCTAAGGCTGGTGTGACCTGAGCCTCAGGAGACCTGCCAGCTGTTAAGGCCATGTTCACAGCAGGCCACCATCAGATGTCTCTCCAGTGCTGTCGTTTCCAGGCAGCCCCTCATCCTGGAGAAACACCCCTTCATCCCCCTCTGTATACAAGGCACCCTACAGATGCCTGGCCTCCTTTGCTTCTCTTTAGAAAACTTCTCGCCCCACCACGCACCATTGGCTGCCTGAACAGAATCATGGACGCTTGGCACAGGGTGGGGGTTGGATGCTGTCGCCTGCCCACCACTATCATGTTCCTGCCAGCCCTCCACTCGGGGCCTGGAGGGATGGAGCTTTTTGCTGGGTCCTGACTCATGATGTCATTTGGAGCCCAGTTCCCACACTCCATCAGTGCATTGCCATCTCAGCATCACCCCGGGGCTTGTTCCAACACAGCAGGACCCGCCCGGTAGTTCTGACCCAGCTGCGTGGTGTGGGGCTCAGAATTTGCATTCTTACACCTTTCCAGGTAAACACTGATGCTCTGTCTGGTATAGACGTGTTATCTTCTTTTTTTGTGTTGTTTTGTTTTGTGGGACTGAGGTTTGAACTCAGGGCTTTGCTCACTTGCAAAGCAGGTGCTGTACCACTTGAGCCAAGCATCCATTCTCCAGTTAATTTTGGAAATAGGGTCTTCCAAACTATTTGCCCAGGCTGGCCTTGAACCACAGTCCTTCTGATCTCAGCCTCCCAATTACCAGGATTACAGGACTGAGCCTGTGTGGGTCTCAACTGTGTGGCCCAGGCTGGTCTCCTCCTACCTCAGCCTCCCCAAGTGCAGGGTTAGATGCATGCTCAGGTGTTAGGTGCATAGTCCAGAACACAGTCCCCATCTGGGCAGTCCCTGCAGCCCTTGGGAGGAGTCTGAGAAACCTGAAATCCAGAAAAGTGCCCCAGGGAATTAGCTGGGAATGGGGCTAGAGCCTCCAGAACTTTCCATGGGCATCTGTCTCAGGCAGGCTGAGCTCACTGGAGCCTGGCTTAGCTTGTGCCCTGTGATGGTGGCTGGGTAGAGTGTCTCCCATGTCCCTTTCTTGCTGGACTATAGTTAACAGTGCTGTCCCTATACCTGATGGTGGACAAAGGGTTTTCACAGGCCCATCACAGCCCCTTTCAGAGGCCCCACTCTTCACCCCCAGTCTCCTCCAGAGGTGCTGGCCTGTGTTGGTAGCGGCTTCACGTAGTGACCGTGACAGTGGAGGGGTCCTGGAGAGAGGGAGGAGACGGGCTGTGACAGGGGATGCTCCCACTGCAGGAGCATGGAAGGCTGTGGGCACAGACCAGCACTGAGGATCCAGGGCCTCCCCAAGCCCCACTCCTGCCCCCTCACTGTCAGCCTCAGCTCCAGGGAGTGGCAGTTGAACTGTGTGAATAATGGAGTGACTTTGAGCCAGTGTGTTTGGTGTGCGTGTGTGTGTGTGCATGCGTGTGCATGTGTGTGTCTTGTCTTACGGAACTGCAAAATGTGAGAGTGGGAGAGCAGTACCAGGGGCCGTGAGTGCCACCTCCAGTTCACCAGTTGCCAAGGTTAGGCCATGTTTGTTTAGTCTGCTCCTCCTTCTCCTCCTACTTCTCCCTTTTTCCTTTTCATTTTTCTTCCCCTTCTTTTTTTGAGATAGGGTCTCACTCCATAGCCCAGACTGGCCCAGAACTCAACTGTGTAGCTCAGGCATGGTTTGAGGACCATGGCCTCATGGTCCCCCTCTCTCAGACTCTCTGAGTGCTGGGATTATAGGAATGTACCACCACGCCTGGCTTTTTCTTTTCATGGAACATTTTATTTAGTCGTCGTCTTCTGGCGCTGGGGGGGTCAAATCTCGGATCTCTTTCATGTTAAACACGCCCTTGAGAGGCATTTTAAATGGTAATCAGTAATCGTGGCATTTTAGCCCCACATGTGTCAGAGCACATCCTAGTTTTGTTTTTTTGATGGGACTGGGGTTTAAACTTAGGACTTTGCACTTGGAAAGCAGGCACTCTATTGCTTGAGCCACAGTTCTAGTCCATCTCACTGTGGTTATTTTGGAGATGGGGGTCTTTTGAGCTATTTCCACAGACTGGCCTTGAACTTGACATTCTCCCCATCTCAACCTCCTAAGTAACCAGGATTGCAGGCGTGAGCCACTGGCGCCTAGCAGAGTACTTCTGTAAAATACAGCCATTTCTTTAGAACATGTAACCAAATGAACTAGAGGCCTTACCCCTATAATTCAGTTTCCCTGATTGCTGTAAAACTTTCTTTTACCTGGAGTGAAATGAATGCTTTGTGTGGAGTCTAGTCTTTGCAGCTGTAAAATTCTAGCTATTGGGTTTCTCCTCGCATAACAGACTAAGGAGGATTAGGGCTGGAGGCGTGTGGCTCAAGTGTTAGAGCATCTGCCTAGCAAGAGTGAGGCCCCTGAGTTCAAACTCCAGTGCCGCCAAAAAAAAAAAAAAAAAAAAAAGACAGACAAAATGATTATTCCTTTAAGGAGCCACACAAGGCCTGTATCTGTGCTGTCTGATGAGAACAGAAATCAAGTCACAAATGACAGCCAAGTACATACTCTAAACTTTTCTAAAATCCACATTAGAAAAAGTAGTGAATTACATATCTGTGTAATTCTCTCTCTGCTGCTAAGACCCACAACACATCACCCCGTGGACTAGCCACGCTTCAGGTGCCCACAGCCACACGTGACTGGCCACAGCTGTATGAAAGACACAAATGCACATACTATATGTGGTTATTTTTCTCTGAAGTCTCTCAGTTCCAGGGAAGCCCTCCTTGGGGCACTGACTTGTAGAAGCAGAATTGGTTTCTCCCTGGGTCTCACCACCTGCCCCCTCTGCCTGCCACATTTGTTGTAAATGCAAGTCCGCTTCCATTCGTAACAGTAACTTGAGGCTGTTTGCTTGGGTCACTTTGGTTAGGGAAGATTCCTAGATGGTGCCATAGCTTCCTGGTAGGTGGCATATAACTCCCAGGACCCCTGGTGTCTGCCCCAGTTCAGCAGTGGGTTTAGCTGACGATGCCAGCTGGGTCCCTCTTGGAAAGTCCCCCTTGGCCCTTCATCCGAGCACTTTCAGCCCTGGTGATCATTGCCAGGATCTGTTCTGGAATCAGGATGGCCACACCTGGAGGGCCATCATGTGACTCCACCCCAAAGTGTGTGACCCTGCAGGTCTGGGACAGGCTGGGAAGCTGCAGTTCTGACAAGCTCCCTGATGCCCAGAACCACTGTCCTAGGGATTGTTCACACTTGTGTCCCCAAGAGGGTCTTCCAGCAAGGCAGGCTTCAATGGAAGCTTTCACAGCTGATGTTTTCTGAGTCCTGGCCCCTTGCCACTGGCTTCAGACACATCATCTCCTGTCATCGTCCTCACAGCAGCCCTAAGGGGCTGATGCCTTTTCCCCATATGAGTAATGTAAGACTCAGAGAGAGCCAGGTGCCAGTGGTTCACACCTGTAATCCTAGCTACTCAGGAAGCAGAGATCAGGAGGACTGAGTTTGGAAGCCAGCCTGGGCAAATAGTTCTCACGACCCTATTTCAAAAATACCCAACACAAAAAGAGTTTGCAGTGTGGCTCGAGTGATAGAATGCCTACCTAGCAAGGGTGAGGCCCTGAATTCAAACCTCAGCACTGCCGATTAAGTAAGTAAGTAAATAAATAAAAGACTCTGATGAAGTCTCTTGCATAAGGACCCACACCTAATGGCAGAATCAGAGAGAACCAGGTCTGGGTGACCCTGATCGTGAGCCTTTAGCCACTGCTGTTCGACCTTCTGGGTAAGGAGGCAGCTCTGCCTCCCTGTGCAGCCTGGCCAACCTTCTCTCTTCCCATGCAGGATGCTCTCCTCCTCCTCCAATCCTAGATGGTGAGGACACACTTGTTGACCTGGATCTCCTCCCACCTCCTCCGCCACCCCCTCCAGCGTTCCTGCCTCCTGACGAAGAGCCCCCCTCGTCAGTGGGAGGGTCACTCATTTCAGACTTGGAGCAGCTGCATCTGCCCCCGCCCCCATCTCCACCCCCACCACAGGTACTGCCAGCCTCACCAACCCCTTGCGTCAGGGAAGGGAGAGTCAGGCCTCTTCAAGATTATAAATGTGGAGCTGGTTTGGTCCTTTTTCCTGCTTGAGGGCAGGCAGTCCCTCTTCAAGGCTGGACAGGTGTGGTGATACATCTCTGTAATTCCAGCTACATGGGAAGTGGAAGTAGGAGAATCAGTCCAAGCCTGGCCTCAGGCAAAATCGAGACCCTATCTGAAAAATAAACTAAAGCAAAAAGGGCTAGGGGTGTGACTCGGTGCAGGACCCTGAGTCCAGTTGTCGGTACTGCTGAAAAAGAAAAAAATCAAAGCTCTTCAAAATTCCTAGGCAGGCTGGTAAAAATTATTTGAGTGTTTTCAATGTCCCTGGAAAGAGCTGCCCCAAGGAAATTGTGTCCCTGGGTCTGGCCTAAATCCCTGTGCCGCATAGGAAACCCAAAGGCTGTCATAGACGCCTGGGTGGGGTCCCAGGCTGAGGGCTGAGTCCACTTCAGCCTGGGATCCAAAGGGAAAAGTGATTCCAGGAGAGAACTCAGCAGTAGGAGAAGCGTGGGCTCGTGGAGGCAGTCCAGGCCTGGGAGCCGGGAGGCCCAGGCTCCTAGGGCCACCGTAACTTCCCCCCAGGCAAGTGACAGATGACTTGCTTCTCAGGGCCTCCATTTCCTCCGTATACTGGGGTGGATTGTACCTGGTGTCATCACATGAGGAGCAGAGCAGGGAGGTGTGTCTCTTGGGGCCCCTCTGGATGACTCCTCCCATCTCCCCATCTATGTCACCACAGGTTCTGTCAAAGGGGCCTCCTGTCCAGCCTCAGCCTGGTCGCCTCAGGCCCTCAGAGGAGCTGCCACCTCCCCCAGAAGAGCCTGTCAGCCTCCCTGAGAGAGAGGCATCTACAGGTACTGACCCCTGGGACCCCAGGGGGGCCAGCATGGGCTTTTGGCAGGAACAAGAGGAGCAGGGCCCCACGTCTGTACTTGCTCCAGTCCACAGGACAGGCTGCCGTCACAGTCTGTTACGCTAGCAAAAAATATCTTTAATTTTTTTCTTCCTGCTTACCTTCTTGATTTTTTTTTTTTTTGAGACAGGGTCTCTTTAAGTAGCTCAGGCTAGCCTCACACTTGCAGTTCTCCTGCCTCAGCCTCCTGAGATTACAGGCATGTATCACCATACTCAACCCTTTTTGAATTCTTAACGCCTTTACATAGTGCAAAATACAAAGCAGAAAAGGATACACAGCTGGGTGCCGGTGGCTCACATCTGTAATCCTGGCTACTCAGGAGGCAGAGATCAGGAAGATCTCAGTTTGAAGGAAGTCCCAAGCAAATAATTCACAAAAAATCCATCACAAAACAGAGCTGAGTGGCTCAAGTGGTAGAGCACCTGCCTAACAAGCATGAAGCCTTGAGTTCAAACTCCAGTACCATAAAAAAAAAAAAGGAACACAGTGAGAATTCCTCTCACACCATTCCCCTGACACAGAGGCTGTCCAGTGAGTAGCCTCTGTTAATACCGTACATACCTGCCAGAGATCCTCCCTCTGTCAATGCACACATGCGTCACCAGCCCACACCCACCACTTTTCCAGTCACACCCTGAGTGACCCTTATCTAAAATACTCAGGACCAGAAGTGGGATTTTTATGGATTTTAGAGTATGATCATACACCATGATGAGATATCTCGGAGATGGACCCAAGTCAAAACACAGAATTCACTTAAGTTTCATAGACATTGTAGACATAGCCAAAGGTAATTTTATACAGTATTTATTATTACTATTGTTGTTATTATTTTGGTGAGATTAGGGTTTGAACTCACGGCTTTGCACTTGCAAAGCAAATACTTACTGCTTAAGCCACACCTCTAGTCCATTTTGCTCTAGTCATTTTGGAGATAGGGTCTTGTGAACTCCTTGCCCAGGCTGACCTCAAACCATGATCCTCCCAATTTCAGCCTCCTAAGTACCTCAAGATTACGGGTGTGTGCTGCTGGTACCTGGCCCTCAGGTGGTTTCTTGCTGTAACAAGTAATGCAGAGATGAGTCACCTTGCACATGGGTCATTTTGCCCCTGTGCAAATTTTTCTGAGGTAAATTCCTAGAAGAGGAAGTACATTTGTAAGTTTGGTGTTTTTGCCCAATCACCCTCATTAGTCACAGCCTATCCTCCCACCATCGGTGTTGGAATCTGTTTTCCTAAAGCCTCTACCATGCCTTGTGTCACTGGTTTAATAAGGAGCCCTGCCTCTGGCACTGGGGATCCGGAAGTGATTAATGAAGACTCCACCTTCCAGGACCAGGTAGGACTTACAAATGTTTCTTGCCCAGCTCAGTGGCTCTCACTGGACTCAGTGGCTCATGCCTGTAATCCTAGCTACTCAGGAGGCAGAGAGGATCGCAGTTTAAAGCCAGCCTGCACAAATAGTTTGAGAGACCCTATCTTGAAAAAAACCTTCACAAAATAGGGCTGGTGGAGTGGCTTAAGGTGTAGGCTCTGAGTTCAAGCTCCAGTACCACAAAAAAAAAAAGAAAAGAAAAAAAACACAAATGTTTTTTCAAGTCCATCATTTCTTCTTTTTTTTTTATTCCTGTGCTGGGGATGAACCCAGGGCCTTCCACATGCTAAAAAAACAAACAAACAAAAAAAACTCTAACTCTGAGCTACACCCCAGCCCCTGTCATATGTCTTCTGACTTCTGGTGCATCTTGAGCAGTGCCCCCAGCCCTGGTCTCAAACTTATCCTCTGTCTCTGCCTCTTGTGCTGGGATTACAGCATTCACCACCACACCCAGCAAAATCCCATTTCATATAGTCAAATACATCGACCCTTTTCTGACTGCTGGATTTTGTTTTGGTGGGGGACAATACTGGGGTTTGACCTGAGAGCCTCGTAGTTGCTAGGCAGTGGCTCTGTGACTTGAGCCACACCTTCAATCCTGCTGGGTTCTATGTCAGAGTTAGAAAGGACTTTCTTCTCTTAAACTGTAAATAATTTTCTAGTCTCTTTAGTTTTTGTCTTTTTGTGTGTGTGTGTGTGGTGCTGAGGCTTGAACTCAAGGTCTACAGCTTGAGCCTTCCACCAGCCCTTTTTTGTGATTTTTTTTTTTTTTTTTTTTTTTTGAGATAGGGTCTCATGAACTTTTTGCCTGGAGTTGGCTTCAAACTGTGATCTTCCTGATCTGCGTCCTGAGTAGCTGGGATTACAGGCAGGAGCCACTGGTGCACAGCAGCTTTTTTCTTTTTTGAGGCAAGGTCTCGATATATAACCCAGGTTGGCCTTGAACTAGAGATCTTTCTGCCTGTACCTCCCAAGTGCTAGGATTATAGGCATGAGACATTTGCACCCACCTTTCTTTGCTCTTTTTTAAAATTTTATTTTATTGCTTTTACATTTACTTACATTTGTGTACATTATTTGGGCCACCTCTCTCCCCCCACATTTTGGTTTTGAGATGGGGTCTCTGGGCTGGCCTCCAACTTGAGATGCTCCTACCTCTGCTTCCCAAGTAGTTGGGATTACAGATGTGCACCACCATGCGTGACTCCAACACTGCATCTCTGGTTTAGCTTTTCAGAGGCTGCTCACTTCTTTCCCAAAGCTCCTTCCTTGTTAGATCTTGGAGCCGGGGAATCAAGCTGAGTCCTGGGCACTCTGAGCATACTCTGGTGGTGACTGAGTATAGTTCTCCCAGGATGAGCTGATGGACCATGTCTCCTCCACCCCAGACGTCTGCGGCTTCTGCCACAAGCCGGTGTCCCCCCAAGAGCTGGCTGTGGAGGCCATGAAGAGGCAATACCACGCCCAGTGCTTCACCTGCCGCACCTGCCGCCGCCAGCTGGCCGGGCAGAGCTTCTACCAGAAGGATGGGCGGCCCCTGTGCGAATCCTGCTACCAGGTATCTCTGCTGCTTTGGAGATGTTACTCTTTCATTCTCTGCAGTACTCCTAGGGGGTGAGCACTGTTGACCCGGTTCTCAGCTTCCCTCAGGAAGGAAAAGCTCAGCCACAGGATTACTGTCCTTTGGTGGGTGCTGTAACTCGTTAGCTTTCCAGCGCTGTGGTAAGATACCTGAGATGATTAACTTAAGGAGAAAAGGTTCCGGGTGCCTCAGCTCACACCTGTAATTCCAGCTACTCAGGAGGATTGTAGTTTGAAGCTAGCCCAGGCAAATAGTTCATGAGACCCTATCTTGAAAAAAAAAAAAGTCACAAAAAAGGGCTGGTGGAGTGGCTCAAGATGTAGGCCCTGAGTTCAAATCCCAGTACCGCAAAAAAAAAAATACAAAACAGGGCTGGCAGAGTGGCTCAAGTGGTAGAGCATCTGTCTAACAAAGCATGAGGCCCTGAGTTCAAACCCCAGTAGTGCCAAAAAAAAAAAAGAGGGAGAGAGAGAAAGACAAAAAGTTTATTTTGGCTGAGTGCCAGTGGCTCACGCCTATAATCCTAGCTATTCAGGAGGCAGAGATCAGGAGGATTGTGGTTCAAAGCCAGCCTGGGCAAATAGTTCAAGAGACCCTATCTCGAAAATACCAATCACAGAAAGGGTTGGTGGAGTGGCTCAAGTTGTAGACCTTGAGTTCAAGCCCCAGTGCCACAAAAAAAAAAAAAAAAGTTTTATTTTGGCTCCCTCTATCAGTGTGGGCCTGGAGCGAGGCAGCCCATCATGGTGGGAGCAAAACCACCCCGTTCATGAGAGGAGAGGGAGGAACCAGGTCCTGCAGTCCCCTGCAAAGACTCATCCCCAGTGACCTAAGAGCCTCCCGCTATGTCCCACCTCCTAAAGGTTCCATCACCTCCCAGTGGCACCACCCCGGGGACCAAGCAAGCCTCTAGCACAGGGGCCCTTGGGGGACTTTTAATATCCAAACCGAAGCATAACAAATTACCACAAATTTGGTGGCTTCAGGCAGTACACATTCTCCTACAGTTCTGGAGGGCAGAAGTCCAAAACTAGTTTCCCTGGGCAAAATCAAGGTGCTGTGCACCCCTGGAGCCCCAGACAAGAGTGCACTTCCTTGCCTTTTCTTTTCCTGGCAGTACTGGGGTTTTGAACTCCTTACCACTTGTTAGGCGGGTGCGCTACCACTTGAGCTGTACCACCAGCCATTTTTGGCCTTTTCTGGGTTCTGAAGCCACAGTCCTGGCCTTCCCCAACTCCTTCCTCCACCTTCGAAGCCAGCACTCAGCGTGTCGCTACAGTGGTCACATTGCCACTTTCCATGTCAAGTCTCCCGCCTATGGGGATACTTGTGATCTCATTGAGGATGTCTTTGGACCATTGGACACAGTCTCTCCATCCTAAGAGCCTTCCCTCAGTCACATCTGCAAAGTCTCTTTGGCCATTCAAGGTCACGTGCACATTCCCAGAAAGGTTTTGTTTTGTTTTTAATTTTTGGTGGCACTGGGGCTTGAACTTAGGGCCTCATGCCTGCTAGGCAGGTGCTCTTACCATTTGAGCCACTCCACCAGCCCTTGCATTCGCAGACATAAGAACCTGGCTATCTTGGGGGACTGTCTTAGCCACCACACCAGGTCACACTGTAGACGGCCAAGGAGCTGAATTCCCCCCCAGTTCGGTCTGGTCTGGAGCCCGCCTTGGTCTGGCTGCGTTATTTTTGTTGCAGTGCTGGGGATGGTCAACAAGACTTTCAGGTGATGCTGACACACACTGAAGCTCTGAGAGGTTAGCTAGTTGGAGCGGGGATGCCTGGGTCAGACAGAGCAGGGGATCACAGCCCCTCAGCGTCTCTTCCTTCCTCAGCTTGGAACCAGGTAGGGGTAAGGCACTGGGGGGGACCCTAGGGGACAGGAAGCCACCAGGAGGAAGACTTGAACAGTGTGTGAGGGCAGAAGAGCTGCCTCTAGGAGAGTGAAGCAGTCTGTATAGCATCATTAGAACAGCTGGGGTGGCTCCCTGGTGGAGCACTTACCTAGCTTGTGCAAGGTCCCAGGTTCCATTCCTAGCACCACACAAAGAACAAAAAAAAAGAAAAAAAGGAAAGGAAGGAAGGGAAAGGGAGGGGAAGGGGAAGGAGAAGGGGAGAGAAGGGAAATCTAAAGCTGAGTACTTTATTTAAAAAAAAAAAAGAGGTCTACTTGGCTTAAAAATCCTGAGGCAATCAGCTGAGCTCTGGTGAGGGCCTTCCTCAGTGGCCTCTGGTGAGGACAGGAAGCCAGGGGCGAGGGAGGGGCGGGACTAGCTCCTGTACAACTCACTCTCATGGGAACTAAACAGGTTCCCAGGAGAATCACCTAATCCTTTAAAGGACACCTTACCCAATGACCTACTTCTACAAGGCCAGCCTCATAATGGCTCCACCACCATGCCCCTACACTGAGGTCCAAGTCCCCTGGACTCTTCGAGGACATACTTGAGCCCTCTCCAAACCACAGTGGAGAAGGGGGGAGGTTGCCCTTCACCCAACACATCTGTCCAGGTAGAATCAGGTAAAAATGAACCTGGAAGCATAACCAGAAAGGGGAAGAGAGGACAGGTTCAGCAGAAAAGGAGGATTTGGAGGGAGGCCCCTTGTTCTGCCTTGGTAATCTTTTCCTACCCTACCTCTCTGTCCTCTGACTCTATTTTTCTTACTGGGCTCTGAACTCAGGGCTTCAGAATTGTTAGGCAGACATTCTAGCATTTGAGCCACGCCTCTAACCCAAACTTTTTTTTTTTTGGCAAACTCAGGGCTATGCACTGCTAAGTAGGTGCTCTATCGCTTAAGTCATGCCTCTAGCCCTCTGTATCTTTTTAAATCCCTCTTCATTCCAGAAGGGATTCGATACCGCTTATGAGAATTCATATACCTGGGTATGGTGGTACACACCTGTAATTCCAGTACTTAGGAAGTGGAGGCAGGAGAATTGTGAGTTCAAGACCAGACTGGGCTATATAGCAAGACCCCACCACACACACACACACACACACACACACACCACCCCCTTCCATGGTTCCTAAAATTAGAACTTGGAGTTTGTCTCTGTGCTTCCAAGTGGTCAAATAGAAAAGGGAAAGAATTCCAACTTTTAAGAGAAATTTCTCCTTTGAGTTCTGGTGGGCCCTGTCCTCAACCGGATGGTATTTCTTGATCTACACCAAAGGCTCTGCCAAGCTCAATGCACTGTAAGCAACAGTGGAGACTCTGGGGTAGTAGTTCCAGGCCCCTGCGAGGAGCTGGCAGAACACCCTTGTGGCTTGGGGAGGGCATGCCCATGGGATGGCTCTGAGGCAGTGACCCTCTGCCCCAGGACACTCTGGAGAAGTGTGGCCAGTGTGGAGAGGTGGTGCAGGACCACATCATCAGGGCCCTGGGCCAGGCCTTCCACCCCACCTGCTTCACCTGTGTGACCTGTGCCCGGTGCATCGGGGATGAGAGCTTTGCCCTGGATGGCCAGAACCAGGTGTACTGCCTGGACGACTTCTACAGGTAGGAGGGGCTCTGTGTGCACAGGGTGGTCTCACAGGGTGTGACTCGGGTAGAACACAGAGCCAAGTTCCAGTGCGGGGAGCCAGACAGAGCCTCCTGCTGTCTCTGGCTCAGAAGAGCTGTCCTCCTGTGCCCCTTACCATTTCCTGCCCCTTTGAGCCCCTGCACGACGTCAGGCACTTTAATCCCCAAAACTGCCCTCTCGGGGTACAACACTGGAGTCTCTGCCCTCCAGATGCTCACTGCCCGAGGGAGAGGCAGCTGTGCCTATTTGAAAAAAAGGAACTAAAAAAGTGCTACAACGGACACTGAGACGTCCCCCAGCTAATTGCACCGCGGGCAGCAGGCCTAGTTACCCAGTCCATCCTCCACCCCTCCCTCCCAGGAGGATGGACATCTGTGGCTGCAGCTGCAGGCCGGGTCACTTAGCAGCGGCCTGACCTCGCTCCGGGAGGTGAGCTCCAGCCAGGTCCACTTCTGCCTGCTGATTACGCCCTTGTCACTGCGAACGCCTGCCAAGTGTGGCTTCCCTTCCCTCCAGGAAATTTGCCCCCATGTGCAGCATCTGTGAGAATCCCATCATCCCCCGAGACGGGAAGGATGCCTTCAGAATCGAGTGTATGGGAAGGAACTTCCACGAGAACTGCTACAGATGCGAGGTGAGCGAGCCTCAGGGATGTCACCACATGTGGCAGCTGAAGCCCCACAGAGAACCCACGCTGGTGGCCCCTGGTTGGATCTGGGGCAGGCAAGCGAGTCAGGCGGGGGCCTCGCCTCACACTGCTCACTGTCCAGTAGCAGACAAAGAAGGGTGGGAACAATGACAAAGATAACCTATCGGTCAGAATCATCTTTGTTCACGAGACACCAACCTCATGGTGCTTCCTGCCAGAGAGGGGATGTGGGCTTATGGTGACAGCAGCAACGATATCAAATGGTAGCATTAGGGCTGGCTGTCCATCTCCTTCTGCCTTTTCTGTTTGCTTCATTTTCTCTTCCTATGGCTGCCATTCTATGTGAGCAAGGGGCCCAGTTCAGGGGCACAGGTTTCCTCCCAACTGAGAAACCCCAAGGGAAAGAGAGTGGACCCCAAGTGGAGGAGACAGAGGCAAGAAGGCTTCTGATTGGCCCAGGGTAGGTCACATGCCCTTCTGGACTAATCACAGGGGCTAGGGTGATTAGCCCCTGGAGTTGGAAGACAATCTGTGAAGCAAGGAGTTTCTTCCACCCTAGGCAGAACTCGACATAAGGGGATGTGGGAGGCCTACATCATGACTTTCCTTTGGGAGCTAGAAAGAGCGTGTACTGATTGGCTTTGGGCAAAGAAGGCAGTAGTGGAGTCTAAGCCGGGTGGTAGAATGAAAGGCATTCTTACAGACGCAATGCTTAACCTGGGTCTTGAAGGATGAGTAGGAGTTTCTCAGATAGGGGAGAGGGGGAAAAGCGGTCCAGAAAGGAAGAAGATGGAGCCTGTAAAAAACCCACTACAGCAGGAGCAATTCTGAAGAACCAGAGGAAGTGGAAGTTTCTAGGTGTGTGGAGTGTAGACAGCCAAGGGTGTGGTGAGCCATGTGGCCAGAAAGAAAGGAAGGGAAGTCTCTGTCTTTTCTGGTGATGGGGACAAAGGTGGCAGTTTTTATGGGTGGCACCTAAGTGGGGAGTCCCAGGGCACATCTCTGTCAGCCAGTGGAATTCTACATATCTGTTTACCCACGTGTATTTAAACAGCCATGTGGAACCAAGAGGGTGTTTCCCTGAGTGCCTGGGGGAAAGAAGGTGATAAGTGACTTCAGACTTAGGCTGTCGCTGTTGGTTTAGTTCAAGGTCCAGCTGATAATGTCTTGAAACACCAATAAGGAGAATCGTGCTGTTATCACCACCACAGCCCTAATAAGGCCCAGCGGTGATCGGCATTCTGAGCCCGGCTGGGAGTAACTAAGCCCCCTGTTTGTCTTTGGCGACCTTGACCAAGGCTGCCTTGGAAAGTCAGAACTTGGACTCTAGCGGTTACGTTTCAGAAGGTGGGGCTCAAACCACCGTGGCTTGGAACAGCTGGGGAGCTGTCTCTGAGGACGGGAAGTGGTTTCCGGGCACTGCCCTGTCTCACCAGTTCTGCTGACTTTGTGGTCTGCATTACTTACTCCCGTTGTTGGAAGGGTGGTAATATTTTTATACATGTATAAAGCTTTTCAATTTGTAAGATGCTTTCGTACACATCACCTTATTTAAGCCTGAGGACAGTCTTGGGAGATGGTATTCTTTGTCCCCATTTAACTTGGGGAAACTGAGGCTCTAAAAGTGCTTCCCAGCTGTGTTTGCTTGGCGGGCCCAATAGCTCTCTGCCACCCCACGGCTTCTCTGCAGACTTTGTGAGATTCAGTAGTAGTTGAGATATTTTCCCCCACTTGATTCTAATTTAGGAGAGGTCACATGTGTCCCTTTGGAACTTCAGGTTTGTCACCTGATGCTCTCACAATGCCAAACAAGTGGCCATTGTGAATGACCCAGATACCAGGATTCAGTGTTGGCTTTCACTAGAGACTAGGGTGGAGTTGCAGAGAAAAGCCACACGAGGGCGCTCTGCCTCTCTGGCCATGGGGTCCCTGCTGGGTCATGATGGCCACCTGTGACCCCGAAGTTGTCTCTGTGGGGACCAGCCCCTTTGAATCAGTACAGCTTCCAAAGGGTGCCAGCTGGGCCCAGGTGAGGCCCAGATGAGGTGTGAGCGGGGGACAAAATGGTGAAGTTGGCAGTTTGGACCCCAAGTCCCCTCCTCATTCTAAAATCTTTTCGTGATTTGAAAAATCAGAACTATTAATGTTTGTGTCATTCTCAAAGACCCTTCGATTCAGCCTGGCAACCCAGTCTGCTCCAGAAGCAGCTGTGTAACCTGGGGCAAACCCCACCCCTCTTGGAACCCCACCTGCAAAATGAGGGACTGTACTAGATTCCAGTGACTCCTTCCACAGACATTTATCCCGGCTGCAGAGTGACAGGCAGGTCTCAGGCAGGGATCTGGTGTAAGTGAGATGTTAAAGGGGCTGTTGGGGTCCACTCAGGCCCTTGCAGCCCTGACTTCCTGTCGTTCTTCAGAGCCTTTTCTGAGTGTTCTCAGTTCTCCTCGTAGCCATGCTGCTGCCATTCCTCATGCCTTCCTGTGGATTTAGCCCCACATGGCTTTGTCTGGTCTTTTCTCGGGGAGACCTGGCCCTGGGAAGACAGGAGGAGCCACATCCCACAGCCTTCGGGAGGGCTATCACCCAGTTGGTTTATTCAACAAATGCCAACTGAGTCTGTCTCTTGGGCAGGCTCTGGGCTGGCAGTGCCCCAGCTTAGGGACATCTACATATACTTTTGTCTCCCCAGGACTGCAGTGTCCTCCTGTCTGTGGAGCCCACGGACCAAGGCTGCTACCCTCTGAACAACCATCTTTTCTGCAAGCCGTGCCACGTGAAACGGAGTGCTGCGGGATGCTGCTGAAGCCCTGGCCAGGGTCCTTCCCTGACTTGGTTTCCCTTCCTCACCTGCTCTTGCACACTTTCCTCCTGAGCCTCACAGGACCAGTGGGCAGCTCAGCCTATTTCTACATGCAGGGGGTTCCTGGCACAGAGGTGGGTGCTGGTCCACAATGTCCCCCAGACTCAACTCCTCCTCCTGTCCCAGGCACTGGAAGGCTCCTTACAAGGAGTATCACACCTGGAGTCCCCTCTGGCCTCTCCCAAGTGCTGACCCTTACCCATTTAGGGGACAGGTCTTCATATAGCGCCTGCTAGACTTACCTGTCTAGTGGAAGGTAAGAGCTTTGCCTGAGCTGTTTGAGGAAAAACTCCGTGGTCCTTTAAAAAGTGCTTTTTGAGCTAGGTGCGGTTGGCTCATGCCTGTCATCCTAGCAACTCAGGAGTCAGAGATAGGAGGATAGTGGTTCAAAGCCAGCCTTGGGCAAATAGTTCTTAAGACCCTATCTTGAAAAACCCATAAAAAATGCTTTTTGAAAATTTTGAGGTCTAAATGGTGGGAAACAACATTTTTCGGATGTAGGGGAGGAGCTTTTTTTTTTTTCCTTTTTTGGCGGGGAGGGATAGGTAGGAGAAATCTTCATAGCAGACATCTCCTTTAGCTCATAAATTTACAAGAAGGTGACCTCACGGTGACACAGCCATGGGCTTCCCACGTCTGGAACATGTCATCGTACTAGAGTGAGGCTGGGGCCCAGAGCCAGGAGAGAGGGCGTGGTCCACAGACCCACACTGAGGACATCAGCAACCTCCACCTGCCACCCGGCCCTCCTGTGGGCCACGGTGAAACCAACAGTCACCGATCAAGTGCCTTTGGTATGTTCGGGGCTGAGCATCCTTCCTGTGGCTTCCCACCCCAGACACACACTCCAGGACAGTGCCAGGGCAGGAAGCCTTTGCCCCACACTTGTCCCCTTTGGGCCCTACAGCCAAGCTGCCCTATAAACACTGCTTCCACAAAGCCACGCCTAGAAGATTCTTCCCTTTTAAGGAAAATCATTTTTTCTGTTCCGTAACTTCTAAGACATTCTGTCGAATAAATGACACGTGCTTTCCTCCCTGGGGTCTTCTTGACGTGCCACACACACACTCCCGGGAAAATCCCAGGTTCCAGGCACTCAGTGTTTTTTCTGTGCAGCCCCTCAGGGTTTCCATGGCACAGCTGCCTGCCCTAAACTTGGAGCAGTGATTGCCAGCTTGTGACCATCGCCACAGTTCTCACCCTGTGCAAGGACCCGCTGGCCTGTCATTTCTTCTCTATCAGCCTACTGTCTTCTTTGCTTACCTGCAGGTAGCCTTGCACTAATAGGTGCACGCAGTCCACACAGCTATGAGACTGTCTTTCCTTCTTACACGTGCAAATAAATGCGTAACTGTGAGAAACTTGCCTGTGTTCACGTACCATGTGCTAGCCTTTGGTTGCAGTCCTGGAAAAGTGTTTGTTGGGCTTCTGCTGAGCGTCTGGAAAGTGCCTACATCTTTCTTCCTCCACAATCAGGCTCAGCATGACAAATCAAGCTACTCATCCTTTCCCACACTGGCCACCTCATGGGTGCTTGTCTCCTGGTCACAGGCCACCAGCAGTGGGGCTGCTGTGGGATAGCCAGGGGAGCCTTTGCCACAGGGGCACTCCAGAGCCACCAGATCCCCTGAGACCCCACACTTGGTTCTGCTCACTACACCACACAGCCAGGCCCAGCCTGCCCTCCCCGTGAGCTCACTCACCCACTGCACCGGAGAGATGCTGACAGCTGCGCTCACCTGGTGAGCACAGCTCCAAAGGGAAGGGTGCATGGTGGGAAAGTGCACCAGACCCAGCACCTTGGGGCACAAACCCCCATGTGCAGCTCCAAAGCACGCACAACTTCTTCAGCCTTCTGTGCCTCCATGAACTGGGATCAGTGCAAATCTCTGGTCACCATGACAGAAAGAAGTGTTGGTCAAGCTGCTGGGGTTGTGCGTGTCTCATGACTCTCAGTTCCATCATTGTAGTTGTGGCTTCTTTGTCCTCAGTGCCGTGGGTCGTGTTGGTGCCCATCAGTCAGACCGCCAAGAACAGGCCTCTGTCAACAAGTTGGGTTTATTATGGCTGCTTACAGCACTGGGACCCCTCAAAGTCCCAGGAAGCCCTGAGGTGCTAGGAGGGACTCCTGGGGCTGGGGTGGGGAGGATTTCAGGATTTGGGGGATTGTCTGGCCATGTGTGGTAAGGAAGCTGGAGAGTCCATGGTCTGGTAGCCATATAGCCGTGAGCCTGAGGGAAGTGACGGGTCCAGCAAGGCAGTGATGGCAGTGAGTATTGTGGCTGTCCAGGAGGCACCTGCTCAGGACATGTCTACTGAGTACCATTGCTTTTGACTTTGACTCATGTCCTTACCATCCTAGAGTGACCTTGTCTGGAGTGAGCGGCTAAAAGGGCCAGGCCAGCTCTGCTCTCAGCAGCCTCTTGTCTCATAGTTACCAAGTTTAGCTTGGTTTTTCCTAGTTACCTGCAACCTGGTGGTGTGAGTCCTCGGGGCCCAGCTTGTTTCTGGTGGATTACTTTTGGAGGGGTGTCACTGGGATAGATGCTTGTGCTTTCCAGGCTGCAGATTTGTAAATGACTCCATGAGGGGACATTTCTGGAGAGCATTCTACCATGCATTTATTTATATCCATCCAGCATCCCCACCCAACCTTTCTTCCTTTTCCTCCTTTCTTTTTTTCTTTTATTCTTTTTTTCTTTTGTGTGTGTGTGTGTGGTGTGTGTGTGTGTGTGTGTGTGTGTGTGTATGTTACTGTGTTACTGGGACTCGGACACCTTGAACCACTCCATCAGCTTTTTTTTTTTTTTTTTTTGTGAAGGGTTTTTTTCAAGATAGGAACTCATGAACTATTTGCCTGGGCTGCCTTTGAACCTCAATCCTCCTGATCTCTGCCTCCTGAGTACCTAGGATTACAGGAGTGAGCCAACAGCACCCAGAACTCTTTCTCCTTTCTGCTTTCTCTTGAAGGGCTTGTGCCAAGTACTAGGATCAGACAGAGCACCCTGCAGAAAGACAACCTCCCTTCCTTTTAGGTGCAGTCCGTGGACAGAGATTAAAGATGTTATCTGGGTTCAAAGACTTTGCTATACCCATGTTCCTAGCAACATTATCACTGTAGCCAAAATGTAGACGCAACCCCAGTGCCACCAACAGTTGGATGGATAAATAAAATGTATATGCAGCAATGGAGTATTATTTACTCCTTCAAACGAGAAACTGACGCTTAGCTTACGACAACATGAACAAACCTTGGGGACAGTGGGCTAAGTGAAATAAACCAGTGTCGCAAAAGGACAATTATGGTATGATTCCACTTACACATGAGCAGTACCTAGAGCGGTCAAGTTCACAGAGTGTAGAAGGGTAGTTCCCAGAGGCTGGGGGAGAGGGGAGAATGGGGAGACAGTGTTTAATGGGCACAGATTTCAGTTTGGGAAGACGGATTCCCGTGGGTGGTGCTAATGCCTGCACAACAGGGCTGCTGGGCTGTACACTTAAAAAATGATTGTAGGGCTGGTACCATGGCTTAAGTGTAGAGCCTGGCAAGCATGAGGCCTGACAAAACCCAGTACTGCCAATCACTATACATATATATGTATATAGTGAGTCAGGCATGGAGGTGCAGATCGTGATCCCAGCACTCAGGAGTGAGTGTGAGTGTGAGGCCAACCTGGGCTACCTAACAAACCTTTCTCAAAAACCCAAGGGTTGGGGATTCGGTTGTCAGTGGTAGGATGCTTGCCTAGCACACACAAGGCTCTGGGTGCAATCTCCAGCAGTAGGAAGAAAAGACACAAATCAAAATATTGTGATGGCAAGTTTTATGCTGTGTGTATTATACATACTGACAGGCTGGGAAGTCGCTTAGTGGTACAGCACACTTAGTGTGAGAAAGGCCTGGGTTCCATGCCTAGCACCGAAACCAAACAAAGCATGTATGTATACACATGACCTAAAATAGATGCTCAGAGACAGGAAGAGAAACTGATAAAGTATTGATGTGCTGTAGGAGTCCTGAGAGGGGCCTGTGTCCCCTGCCTGGGATCTTGGAAGCCGGGCCTGCTGCCTGCTAACCTGCCAGGTGCAGCTGCAAGTGGAGGGCTTCCTGAGGCGGGTGTGGTGTGGTCTGGGGCAGAGCCACTAGGGGGCAGCATGGGTAAGAGAATAATGAACTGCAGTGCCTGCCCTCCCCCCCGCCAGGTTCTCCTCCCTCCCAGACTTTTCCAAACACAAGATGGGAACAACCATCATCTAGCCTGCCCATGGCACCAGGTTGCAATGAAGCTGAGAGAGAAAACAAATTACAGTACTGAAGAGTGAGTGATGTGGCTGTACAATTGCCACACCTGTCCAGGGTGGAAGGAGACCAAACTCCTTAGTGGCCCAAACTTCCACCTGCTGATGCTAATACCTGGGAATCTGGGCTCCACAAGTGCAGAACAGAATGGAAATAGGAAAATGGGAACTGGCGCAGGTGGCCCACTGCTATAATCCTAGCTACTCAGGAGGCAGAGATTAGGAGATAAAGGTTGGAAGCCAGCCCGGACAAATAGTTCTTAAGACCCTATCTTGAAAATACCCATGGCAGAGTGGCTCAAGTGGTAGAACGCCTGCCTTGCGAGTTCAAATTCCAGTACTGCCAAAAAAAAAAAAAAAAGAAAAAAACAAAACAGCATGTGGTTGCTGGTGAGCCCTAAGCCTTTCCATGTTCACCTTGTCCATCCCGTTCCCCCCCCCCCCGCCCAGGTGCTTGGAGATGTCACCCCACCCACCCACATGTGCCAGCCTCTCTGGGACCAGCTGCTTCCTCCCCTGCCATAGACACAGATGGTGGAAATGGGGAATGAATGGAGAGAAGGGAGTGAGGGGCAAGGAGGGAAGAAAGCTGGGCTGAGAGGGAAGAACACTGATGAAGTGAGCAGTATTAACTTCCTTAATTTAAGGTCAAGGAAACTGCACATCAGCGAGGCAGTGTAACTGCTCAAGGCTACACAGCAGAGTCAGGATCGAAATGGGTCCAGTGAAAACCCTTGAGGCCTTGTTTATAGACACTTCAGAAACATCCGCGTTCTAGAATGTCCCAGAAAGCATCAGGTTGTAGCTGGG